ACAACACGAATGTAAAACAATGAGAACATTGACAGACGCATCACCTCCATTTCTCACCAGCTCGCATCTGAAAGAAAGGGACGATTTTTTCGTGGAAACGAAGCCACGCGCGTTCCTCGCATTCCGCACTACCCGTACGGTACGATCACGAAGCGCTGATAAATCCCGCGGGCCCGACGCACCAGGTGGTTGATGCCCTCGACGATGTCTCTAGCACCCCGAGAGCGGGCGCGCGGCCATCCATCATATTCACGCCGCCTAGATGGAACAACATCTCGCCGCAGACGGACGATCTTCGAATCGGTACCGGGCATCGTCGTGCACGCTCGTTTTGTTTTGGCCGGACTGGTTTAATATTAAATTACCGAAGTAATGTCCGTACGTTTGTGGGGGATTTGTTTCTGTTATCTCGTGGGAATATCTTTACTGGAGTAAAACAGATAAATGTATTAATCTCTATATAAAAGCAAAGTGCCACTCACTGACTCACTAGGTGATCTCTAAAACTATAGGTCCTATAACTCCAAATTTCATTCTCTTTACTCTCGTAGACACTCATTAAGTATCGCACAAATCCTCTCAAAAGTGAGTTTTTTTATTATCTATATACAGTTTGCTAGAAATTCAAGGTACGAGCATTGGTATCGGTAATCATCTTTGTATCTATCGGTAACCGTAATAGATACAAAGATGGTTAAATTGGGGCACAGTTGCCGTCTTGGAATTTTTACCAAAATACCATTAAAAAAGTTTTAAAAATTTCAAGGATTGCTGAGTTTTTTGAGAGAAATGGATTTTTTTGAAAATCAATTTTATTTTTTCCTGCTGTTACTTTTTAGAAAAGCAAAAAACTAATTGCACATTCTCATAGCCACTTTATTACACCTGATAGTATTTTTAGATTTTCAAATTTGGCTGATAATTTGTGAGATACAGAGGCCGACTTATTTTTTTTTTAAATACGGACCTGCATTTTTTATTTCAGATTTTGAAAGAACTCGGTCTCCTGAGTACAATGATATGCCACACTTTATACTTGTTAATTGTACTTACAATTTATTTAAACTAATTTCAAGTCCGGCTCTGTTTTTTTAAATACTTAATTTATTCATCGTTACAATATTGATAAGCCTTCAAACTTAACTATGACGTGGGGTAAAACATTGAATACGGAAAATCAAATACAATAAAAAATAATATAAAATAAATAACAAAATATAATATAAAGAATCAAATCATTTCCCCGGAAGATGGATTGGAAATGGTGGAGCAGTAAAATGGCCAGCGAGATTCCTGGACCTGTCGCCAAGGGGGGGGGCATTACTTGACGTCATTTCTAAAAGTGAAATCAATATTTTTCAACATTTACAATAAAGAGTACAAAATGCATTCGAAAGGAAGTGTAAGAAGTAGATATGTTTAAAAAGCTATAAATAAAATGAGCGAATGAACGAATAATAAATTTGTGCAATAGACAAGGTGGTAACTCTTTGAAATTAATATTATGCTTATTATTGGATTGTTCACTGAAATTTCAAATTAACAATAAAAAAAGTTAAAAATAATATCTTTAAATTGCTAACCTGGACTAGAAAATATTTTAAATAGTAATTAAATAGTTTTGTTGTTGTTAAGGTACCCAAAACAAAAAAAGTATAAAGTGTGGCATATCATTATACTCAGGAGACCGAGTTCTTTCAAAAACTGAAATAAAAAATGCAGGTCCGTATTTAAAAAAATATAATTCGGCCTCTCTATCTTACAAATTGTGAGCTAATTTGAAAATCTAAAAATACTATCAGATAGCCCTAATAAAGTGGCTATGAGAATATGCAATTGGTTTTTCGATTTTCTAAAAAGTAACGACAGGAAAAAATAAAATTGATTTTCAAAAAAATAGTTTTTTTCCAAAAAACTCAGCAATCCTTGAAAATTTTAAAACTTTCTTGATGGCAACTTGGTGAACATTCCAAGGCTCAGTTTTGCCCCAATTTAACCATCTTCGTATCTATTACGGTTTTCGAGATAACAATGCTAGTACCTCGAATTTGTAGCATCCTGTATATAAAAGCGATCTGACACTCAATGCCACATCACGATATCTCAAAAACTACAGGCAGATTGAGCTGAAAATGAGTATAGTTACTCTTTGTGGGACATAGACGCTCACTAAGAACGGATTTTGAACTAATCCCATCAAAAGTATAGTTTTTTAATATTTTTCGGAAAATTATGAAAAACTTTTTGTAGCCCCCGTATAAGATGCCAAACGATGACATTAAGTTTAATTTATGGTTTAATTGTTGTTTTGCGAGGGGCGAACCGCTGTCAAAAATGGTATACAATAAATACCAATTTTGGGAAAAAAGTACAAAAGATTTCCAAAAAATACCAAATTAGTATTATACTTTTTAGTATTTAAAGAATTTAAGATATTTGGAGCTTTTTGTTTTCCTGACCTAATTATCGTAGTTTGACATGAATAGGCCCTATTCATGTCAAACTACGATAATTAGGTCAGGAAAACATATAAGCTTAATTCGAGTTCCAAAAAAGTATGGTTCTAGAACGGTTTAAAACAATCGCACAGTCTAATTACGACAATCATTCATGTCAAAAGTTGCAAAAAATCATATTGTGCCAGTGTTTTGAACCGTTCTAGAACCGTACCATTGCGATCAAAAAAAAAAGTAGTACAAGAATTAGTAGTCCCAGATAGAACTCCTGGTCTATAAAGATATCGAGAAGTGGATATCGTCGTCACTATGAAAACAATACAATTATGCCACCTAACTTTTTAGGCGTTATCATGAATTTGGTAATAATTGGTAGGTATACGTGGTGAAATAAAAGTATAAAAAATTTACCTACCTTTTAAAAATGGGCAATTTTTAATATTTTATTATAGACCAGCAGATTAAATCATATTTTGTTGAACTACTTTTTTTATCGCAATGGTACTTTTTGGGAACTCGAATAAAGCTACAGTCATGACACGTTTAAAAAGTTATTTTAACGGTTCCATTCACATCGATACTTCAAAAATTTATAAAATAAAAACTAGATATAAAAAGTAATTGAATTTTTTGTTATTTGCGCCATTTGTTACTTATAAGCTCAAAAATATAATTATATGCACAAGAAAAATAAGAAATTCTAACGAGATCCATATTATGTTTCCATGATGCGAGTTCTTTAATTTCTCGACATTTTTTCGTATGACGCTATGTACCGTTTTTGCGTAAAAACCATTTTATGCATTGAAAAATTGCAAGCTTTGCAATTAATATCAGGTAAAAATAACCTATGTTTTAAATAGGCCAGCAACCTAACTCCGAAACACAAGTAATTGTTCTTAAGTATGTATGTTACGAGGTATATTTTATTGTTAAGTAGGTACTTAACCTTGGACACTAAATATAAAAACTTTAAAATACTTCATATAAAATAGGTCAACACCAAAAATTTTTGATCGTGTAAAAAGCGCGAAGGCGAATCATTTTCAATGCAAATGGGCTAGAAATGATGCAATCAGCTTCCCGGCCGCGGCCGTCGCGCGTCGCCACGTTCATCTAATCCACATCCACCGTTGCCAGATATCCAACAAAATACCTGTTTAATAAAAATACAAACAGTTTATTACCAAATAATACCAGTTTATTACCAAATAATACCAAATTAGTACCAAAAATACCAAATTAGTACCAAAAGTACCAAAAAATACCAGTATTACCAAGTGCTTGTACAATAAATACCACCAGAGGTTTGCCCCTCGACCTAACCTAACCTAACCAAACTAAAAAACAATTCTCAACCAAAAAAAAAAAAAAAAAAAAATGTTTAAATGTTTTAAGGGCTGTTTGTAGAGTGTGGTGGGGAGCTGATCCTTGTACCCTTTTAATTATTTTTTCTGCTCTGGTGAGATCTCATTTGGAATTTGCAACAATTTTTATTAAACCAACTAGTCAAAAAAATTTAAATAAACTAGATGTAGTATTTTTTGAGGGTTTACGTATTTGTCTAGGTTGTATGAAATCTACTCCTAGATTAGCGTTGTTGGGAGAATCTTCTATGATTGATTTAGAATGTAGAAGAAAAATACTTGTAGGCAAATTTCTGTCTAAATTGTTAACTTTACAAAATAATCCATTAATAAATTTAATTTACAATATTAGAAAAACTGTTAATCCAATTTATATTAATAGTAATAATGTACCTTATGTGGTCTCAGCTTTACATGACTTTCTGCCTTATATTGATAATCTTTATGTTAGTCAAAATTTTCCGTGTTATGAAGTTAGTTTTAATATTTTGAATGATTCTATTAAATTAGTTGATTGTCAAATTAATAAACATGATTTTTCTATTAAGGAACAATTTTTGTCAGTATCTGAACGTTTTAAAATTCTCATATTTTTATTTTTACAGATGCATCTAAAAAGATAAAGAACAGGATTTGGAATATATATTCCTTATATAAATTTTAAATTTTTTTCGCGACTAACTGGTTCTTTAAGTATTTGTAAGGCAGAATCCATAGCTATTCATGATGCAGTAAAGTTTGCTATTAAAAAGAACTTGCGTAGTGTTATTATCTTTTCAGATTCCAAAAGTTCAATTCAAAAAATTAGTAAAAATCTCTTTAAAGCATCTGCTGATTATTGGACCTTAAGAACCAAACGTTTAATTTGTTTAGCAAGTTCTAATGGTTTTGACATCAGGATTGCCTGGATTCCAGGTCATTCCAATATCTTGGGAAATACAGAGGCAGATTTGTTGGCTAATATTGGAAAAGATTTAAATATTCCGAAATCTATGGAGATGGATTCGATAGATATTTTTAATTCAATTAAAACTGATATTTTGTGTAATTATAAAGAAAATTGGAAATCTCGTATGGAAGGAAAAAAGCATGTGTATTTTAATATACAAACAATCTTCCCAGATAAACAATGGTCTAAAAATTTCCAGTATATAGATAGAAGACATATTACAATTTCCAGTATATAGATAGAAGACATATTACAACGTTAATTAGAATGCGTACAGGCCATTGCTTAAAAAAAAAACCATTTATATAAAATTAAAGTGAAGGAAGATCCATTCTGTGAGTGTGGCTCTGTTGAAGACCTAAATCAGATCTTTTTAGAATGTCCTATAAATTTTTTGTTTAATTTGGATTTATATCAAAAATTTATTGAAATGAATTTTCCTACTCCACTATCAATATTTACAGTTTTGTCTAAGCCAAGTGAAAAATTAATAGAAACTATTATGATATTTTTTAACATTAATAGAATTAAATTATAATGCTCAACTTTCTATTTTTTATTTTCTTTTTGTTTCAGTTTCCGAATGCAGTCTGTTTGTGTGACCTCTATCCTATGTGCCTTTGTGTGTGATATAATCTTCCTTTCAGCGCGTCATTTATATATTTAATAAATAATAATAATAACATTTTACAGTCACAGGTCACAGGTTACCTTCATAGAAGTTAGTTATATTAAAATTTACCCATTATACATTTTACTCAGATAAGAATCAGTGGCCTTGATATGGTTTAGAGCCAGTCAACATCTTGGTCACTCCCAAATTGAGCTGGCGGTTGCCTTGTAGCAGAGCCATCATAAAAAAAGAAGAAGAAGAAGAATTCTCAACCATAACATGTGCCATAACCCTATAAAATAATCAAAATAAGGCATATCTCCTGTCTCCTGTCAACGATTACTTCTTTGATCTGATGCTTCGCATGACCTTCGCGACATGACAAGGTCATGCCGTCCCACAGCCGTCAATCAAGGCCGACTCGCGGCCTCCAATTTACTCCCATCGCGCGTAAAGAATTTTCACTTCAAAAATCGATAAAAAATGTCAAAAGTAACAACTATGTCAAAAATATTAATAATTGATGGCAAATATGGTTGATTTTCGGTAACACAAGCATCGAAATTGTTAATATCGAAATTCAGATAAAAAATATTTCTTTATCTAAAGGGATTAGGGGTCGCTGATAATGTATGAAAACGGTAGGTTATTGGGCAAAGTATACGAGGTCCCGCAAAAAGGTAAATACAGAAGTTATAGGGTTTTTAGATGCGCAACATCTGGTAATAAATTTAAGTATACAGGGTCGGTCATAAAGTCGTGGCACCTAAAAGATTATTTTTTTTAAATAGAACCTCCTGTATATTATTGGGTATTTCAATTCTTCCTTCAATTTTAAGCAAAAATTGTAATACACAATGTACCTAAATCCAACCGATTCCGAGATATCGAGTTTTGGTTTTGAAATGTTAAACGGACATTTTATAATTTCTAGACTTGATATAATCTCATTTTATACATCTATAAATGCTAACTTGTGAGTCAATAACTCGGAAACGATTGGTTTGAGGTACATTGAGTGTATCTTTATTTTTGCATAGAATTGGAGGAAGAATTGAAATATGCAGTAATATCCTACACCAGGCATTTCATCAGCCGACTATTTTTATCAAAATAAAAATAGTTTGGGTATCTAGGGCGACTGAGCCTTAAATGAGACTTGGGAAATTACTTGGGATTCACAATTCTGAGGTAATAATAGGCGTTTGAAGCGCAGTGCTATCTACATTACTTTCCTTGTATACCGAACGGCTCTAGCATGGCAAGCTGTGCCTTACTACTCCCAAGGCGTTAAACGCCATATACAAGAGCTATTATTATTATTATATACAGAGTAACTATTCCTACCGCCCGCCTGTCAAAATTAAAAAACTAGGAGCCTCTGTGTGACTCTTTCTTAGCTAAGCAAACTTGAGTTTATTGAATTTCGAATTTTAAGGGCGCCACAATTTAGTACTCTAACCTATAAGAAAAACAAAAATTTCTGTAGATTCCAGGACACAAAAATCTGTTTTAATTTTAGGACGCTCTGTACAGGGTGGGTCAAATTCGACGCTTTTAAATGGAAACACTCTATTCTATAGGAGATAGACAAAAACTAATATCGGTGTCTGGAGCTCAATTTTTGTCAAAAACATGATGGTGAAACCGCATATCGATATCTGTTACAGTTTCGGAGTTACGAGGTGTTTTTCAAAAATATGCATTTTTAACAAATCGCTGTAACTTTTTTCCTATTGAAAATTTCCTATTTTTATGAAAACTTTTCCAAAGCACCTTTTTACAAAGAATTTAATGGTTTAAGTATAATTTTTTTACAATTAATAATTTAAGAATTATCAACAGAAAATTTGATTTTTTATATGGAATACCCTGTATATTTTTAATTTATTGAAAAGAATTTAAAATTACCTTTCCAAAAATATAACACACTTGATATTTTGCTCGATTCCTCTTCGAGATATAGAGTATATAAAAATTTGCCCGCTTTAAATAAGTAGGCTTTGAACGGCACCGGCTGTAATGCAAAAAAAAATTAGCGGTGAGCATCAATTAAAACGAAAATAATATTTGCTATGAGAGATGCAGAATTTTATAACAATTTAAAATATATTTAACTAACATCAACACATTTAAATTATGTATATCTGATAACAATAAAAATAAATAGCAAACCAAGACATGAGATTTTGCTACAGGTGTTCGACATATCAACCGTCTTCTGTTATGGACAGACGGGGCAGTTTTTGAACATTTCTCGCGGAATTCATTAACTCATTGGGGGTGAAAGATACCCTCTCATAACTGCTACGTATTTCTAATTCTTGTCTAGATTATACGGAAGAATAAGGAACCTTTATTCTTCCGCAAATATATCCATAGGGTTAGATCCAAGGGCATTAAGTCAGGCGGCTTCGACGTCCAACGGCTGGGTGGTTTTTGGTTTGGTTTGGTTTGGTTGAACTTTTAAAAATTCTGTATTTCGAAGGGGATTATAACAAAATATCAAGTGTGCAATATTTTTGGAAAGGTAATTTTAAATTCTTTTCAGTTAATTAAAAATATAGAGGGTGTCCCAAATAAAAAATCAATTTTTCTGTTGATAACTCTTAAATTATTAATTTTAAAAAAATTATACTTAAACCATTAAATTCTACGTAAAAAGGTGCTTTGGAAATGTTTTCATAGATATACAAAATTTTCCATAGCAAAAAAGTTACAGCGATTTGTTAAAAATGCACAATTTTGAAAAACACCCCGTAACTCCGAAACGGTAACAGATATTGATGTGCGGTTTTCACCATCATGTTTTTGATAAAAATTGAGCTCCAGACACCGATATTAGTTTTCGTCTATCTCCTATAGAAAAGGGTGTTTCCATTTAAAAGCATCGAATTTGACCCACCCTGTACAATAACGTATTAAAAATCGGTGTGTAAAAGATACGTTTTTGTTATGACACTCATAACAATAAAGCTAGACATAGAATCGAGATAGTACGTTTGCCTTTTTCGAATCCGTTTACTATTTTCAACACGCCGATAGTAGCGGTAATGGTATTCACGTCGCGCCTTCTACCGGACGCTACAGATTTCATTTGTGGTTCTGGCGCTATCCCATATAAAAATAAAATGATTCATTTCACATCGTCGTTTGAATAGTAATGTTTTCCGATCGGGTTCAGAAGATATTGTGTAGTCTCGATGTGTAACAAGAAAATACTCGTTTAATTTTTGTTCATAAAGATAGATATGTTGCGATTTAGAAAATTAAGGATGATAACACAGACCAACAATGATTTTGTGATTTGATATCATTCATAGTTTTGGAGTTTTGGGGACCAAACTAATATATTTATTTTTTTTTATATCAAAATTTTTTGTTTCCATCACGCATAATTTTAATAAATTTTTGAGGTGATAATATACAGGGTGAGATTTGCAGTGCAAAATATTTTCAGGGCTGGTAGATCTCGATAAAAGATACATATTTTTACTTTACCGTTTTTAAATAAACCCAAAATAACCGAGTTATTTTACTTTGAAAATTAAAAAAAATATTTTTTACTTAAAATTTTTGAACCACTTTATCTTTTCTGGGTTTTCTTTCTTGTAAATTTATTCTACTAGTATATGTTGCTATATTATCAACAAATTATGTTTTTTAACTTAAAACTAAAAAATTTCCAGGAAATTTTCCAAAAAAATTCAAATTTTCAAAAACATTTTTTTCGCAAAATCACCTCATACATGGGATTTTGTGGTCGTGGTTCGGGGGTCGAAATCTACTGCCCCTATAAATATTTGCAGTTATTTAAGACTCGCCTTGTATAAGACTGGAGCCTTTTTATTGACTCATCAACGAGAAGCCTTAAGTGTTTTTTTTTGCACAACGGAAATTTTCTTGCCTCCGCACCTGTTGCTCATTATATGCAAACGACAAAATGCTACGAAAATCTGAAATTACTGCTTCAGAAAAAAAGTGTATGATTTGTGGTGACTTAAAATCTGTGTGACTTCTCCTAGGTCAGCAGTCAGGGCAGGTGCAAAAGGAGGTTCCACCAAAATATAAAAGAAATAGAGAATAGCAGATATCTAGATCGATGGAACGTTGCAATGATGGATGATTACTGATGGTCAGTAAAAAGGGACAATCCGGTCATGGAATATATAATAAAATCCACCAAACGAAGTTTTTCGTCCAAGAGGGTCCAAAAGTATAAGGAATTAATATAATATATAAAGGAATTAACAATAATAATTAAGAAAAACTATTGTTTGAGATTTTGTTATTTAATTTAGAGTTTTGTATTTGGTTTTTGTTCTTGTGCTTGCTAAAATATTGTTTAACTTAACCAAGATGTTCATATATTATTTTTTTTTAAGTTGATAAAAAATCTTACGTGATATAGAAAAATGATAATCAGACTTAAGTTTAGGAGGGCTAAGTAAAACAGAATCAAATATCAGATCGAAATGAACTTTTAAAAGTTTAAAAATTGTTGATCTGTGCAATCATTTGAATTTATATTTAAAAATAATTTACTAAATTTGCAATTTTTGTTTTACATTTTATTAAATGTTGCAGTCAAAACCACAAAATAAATAAATAATGTATAAATCAATAACCTTTGTGGTGGGTTCATTTCTTGAATAAAAATCTGTGTTTTTAAAAATAAGGGTGAAATGTGCAATTTTTGTTTTGCATTTTTATTAAAACAATATCTACAAAATAAAAATGCCATTTTTTTGAAACCACCACTATTTTACCAATAAAACCAATATGCCTAACCGACAAAAATGTTTATCATTTCAGGAGCTATATCTCCTTCCGTCGTCAGAAGCAAAAACAACACTAATAATACAAAAAAAATATATTTAAAATATCTAAATCTGCCATCTGAGCTATCTACGCCAAGTCTAGCACAGCCCTACTATCTTTTTTTCGAAGTAACTCTTTTAGTCAAATTTCTTTAATTTCGACAATAACAGATTACCAAAATTCTAAGGTATGTACTTCACAACGAACTTCAAATTTTTAATTTTATGTAGATTTAAGAATAAATAGTTTAATGAGTAGTATATAATATCGTCGGTTGACAAAATTTGAAAACACTGTTTGTGTTGATGGAAAAAGGTGGTAATGAAAATGTGTTTTTAGTTTTCGCAAACCTTCATAAATAACATGAGAAAGACTAAAATCGAAATCTTCAATTTTCGTTTTTTCTCGAATATCTCCGGAACTACTCGG